TTAAAATAAATCAGAAACTATAAAATATCCTCTCTATAATGGGCTATTATTGAAAATTTTATCTTTACGCGATTCCGTGTTCTAGAGAGGCGAAAAGAAAAAAATAGTGTCAAAAACCAAATGATAACGAGTTTTGGATAAAATTATCTCAAAAACTAAAAATCGGACCTGCATACTGTAAGCGATGGAATTGTACATCATTTCACTCTCTCTGTAATGGGCTATTATTTAATATTTATATTTTATACTATTAAACTCGCCTTGTTAATGTTTTCATTTTTATCTTGTGGTCTGAAGCACACATCTTATTTTTGTATTTACTAAAATTCTCGAAAATAGGGCGATTTCATTCTGGAGATTGGTAAACTTTGTCTATTTAATGGGGTACTAAAAACGTGTAAAAATCCATTTCCTTTCCCATTGAATAGTAAGATAATTTGATCACGAAATCGAGAAGAAAGGTGGCCTACAAAAATATTGGGCCATTTGATGTGATCTCCATCCCCGACATGTCAAACTAACGAGATTATATAGACCAAACGTCACAGGTTTTTTTTTTCGATTTTGTGACCAAATTATCATACCATTCTAGTGGAAAGCAAACCTGTATTGATGATTTTCAGTACCTCATTAAATTATTTAATTCAAAGAGAAAACGTCTCATTTTTGAGAATTTTGGTAGATAAATAAATTGTAGAACACTATAAGATGAAGCCATTCATAAAATTTTAGATGGATGTTAATAATTTGATAAAAAAGAGTCTGTACCGTGAATTTTAAGCAACAACGTAGAAATCTTATAAGATTAGTTTTCCATGAAAAGGTCCGGACATCACGAACTGTAAGTTTAAACCTAACACGTAGCAAACTAACCTAACTTAGCTAGTAGCTAAGTTACAAGTTGATTATCATGTTATGGGTACTTTTTAAGTCCAGTCACGTATGTTATGTCGCGACTGTTGCTCACCCATCCTAGGCTATGACAATGAGAAGAATCAAGCTCATATCTCCTTGCATTAATGGATCGTGAATAAGCTGCTTTATGAAAATTAAGATTGAAACTGTTTATAATTTTAATTTAAAACAAATCATGTAAGAAATTATAACATGTTATTCTTTAAAAAAATAAGCGATGTCATAACGTGATGAAACCATTCCCAGAGATGTGTATATTACAGGATATAATTTTGTTTGGTACCTGAAAAGGTCCTTTTGACATCCCTCGATTTTTCTTTTCCTGCCTTTCCTTGCTCGGTGAGTTTCCTGAATAGATGTTTACAAAACAGTGGAGTAGACATAACAACCTTTTCAGTAGCCTTCCTGCGGTTGAGGACGAGTCTCCTTTGCGATTACTAAAGCCACAAGGTTTTAAACCGCTTTAAAATATAAGTGGTCAAGATAATATATATATCTACAGATTTCAAAATGAAGATAAGTAATGAATTATATATTTCACTGTAAAAAAAAAAAAAATTAATATTAAAATATAGATTTTCCTACAAAATAGTTTCAACGTTATTTAAAATAGTTCTAACGTTATTTAAATTAGCTATTATTTATATTTGAAATAAAAATTTCATCTGTATAATGGTATACTTGATCAGTACTAAGTATAGAAAGATGAACAATTTGAGCATTGTATGTTACACTACATTATGGAAGATTAAAAAATATATATTGTTAAGTAAAATAAATAAAAAATTGAGAAAAGATGCATATGAAAACATTTGTACAAACATATTTATTATTTATTAATTTGTGGTATTGAGATAGGAAAATAAATGGAGAGGATGACATTACCAATTTCCAGCCATTGGAAAATTGCCGATTTTGTGTGGAATAAGTGACCTACGTTAAAAATGTTGGTGCTCACGCAGAATTGGATGCTCTACAACATTGATTCTATGAATTTTTCCACTAAGGGAACTCATTTCCAAGCTATAGGATCATTTATAGTAATTCAGCTCAGTTTTTGACAAATTTCGTAAAAACCAGCGTTCGTTGACCGTGCTTTTATACCATACCACCAAAGGGTGCCGGACAATGCATGGTGCTGTGGTTATATACAATTTTTCCTTGAGTATGAACCCAAATATGCAAGTTAGAAGAATACAAACTTTTACCACAATTTTCATAAAATATTTCCCGTTTCTATCCTAAAGTTTTTTAACTTTATTGCCATTTTTTAAGCAGTGGTTCTGAAATGGCACACTAAGTTGATTTTACTTAGAATAACCTACACTTTCGTAATTTACATCCAAACCTCCGCCAACGATCAGGTCCGTTTTTTTGTCCTAACTCTATGGCTATATGGTAATCTTCCAATATTAATGAACTTGACCCCATTCATCTCTCGTTCTCAATTTTTTCTTCTGCGCCCGAAATTCCTCTCCTTACAGGTCCAAAGAATTTCCGGAGGGTCCTTTCTTCCGTAACAAGTTTTCCTTCATCAGGCTTGATGGTTGCCGAAGCTTCAGAGCCATACGTCAACACTGGGCGTATCAGCGTCTTGCATAGATGTGTTTTTGTTTTATCGTCTTACTTCATAGACGTTTCAATAGGCCAAAGATGCATCGGTCTGTAATTCTGCTTTCTATTTCTATGCTCAGTTCATTGCTTGAACTAAGTTCTGTGCCTAAATAGATGAACGATTACACCTGCTTGAACTTATTACTAGATCCTATTTACGTTAGGAGTTACTATTTCATTTGTAATTATTATCGTCATCTTCTATGTACTTTCCATCTTTTTATTTATCAAATTTACATACTTCTATTTATATCTCATTTTTCTGATATAATTTTTGCCCTGATGACGATCCACATGCTTGGATCGAAACGTCGACAAGAATTATAAATCATATAGCAATTGCATTTCCCGATTATTTGTCTTCCTCATAATTTCATCAGTCAACTATTTCTCCATATCTAAAAATAAATGGTATTTAAACTAGGTTGGCTTTACGAACGGGGATTGATAATAAGTATGAATCATTAGGGATTTTTCGAAGGAAATAGTTCTATGAAAAGAGATTTTAAATCGAGGTTAAGTATTCTCAAGTCATATCAGTGAAAAATAATTTTTTTGTACCATAAACATCATTTCTGGACGCTTAAGGAAAAAGAAAGTAAGTGTATTTTTTTGTGAAAAAAAATAGAGTTCAGTGAATTGCTCATCTGGAAATTTTTCAATCTTCTTCATAGCACACTAGTGAATCAAGGATTTATTTTTTTTTGGGAGGGGTGCTTCATCGTGGAAGCTTTTTTCCCCATATATATAAAGATAATTACTTTGGGAAAAAAAGAAAGATACTAACTACCTATATGAAATGGTGTTTAAATTATACATGAAGGCCTATTAAATGTAATTAGACGAACAATAATGCTTTAAGAATTAATTTTTACATATTTCTGTACCATAAAACATGGTTACATTTTACCATTTTGGGGGAGACTTCAGTTCGAAAGCTCTTCCCCCACCCCCGTAGATCCGCCTGTGCTTCATTGTTAATGGTTCTGTCTACCCAGCACTCGCTTATAGTATATGCTTTATATTCTACTATACACCACCTACATGCAAACCTTAACTGAGCTTTGGAAGTAATGAGATACAATCAACAATGGAGCAAATTTCATAAATAAATAAAGATGTTTCATCTTTTACATAAAGGTTAATTTATCGATTATTCATTGAAAAATAAACTGATTAGCGGTTACTTCATTCATAATTTTATAAAACTATTTATTTAATAAAGATAATTAATAATTTAATGAAAGAGATAATTGTAGATATAGTAAGAAAAGAATAGCTACCACGCCGTTATATACCCGAGAAGGAAGCATCTCATTTTTAGAAGAGGTCGTGAGGTAGTTTGCGAAAGATGTCGCGCTCATTTTTTATAAACTTGCTTACTTTTTCAACAGGTGGCTAATGCAAGTCTAAAGAGACTTGAAAGATATTCCCACCGCGTAGGTCGCATTTACTGTTCAAAATATCTTTCGAGGAGGTGGCCTACTTTTTGAACCAGCTTGTGTTAAAACTTGGGGCCCTACTTAAAATTAAAACACAGAGCAAGTCTCCAGTCTAGGACCTGACATTTTTATAACCGGCCTATCCGTTTGTAATTTTTGTGAAAGTCGTATTGGATATTTTACTTACTCAAGACTTTCTTAGAGATTTACATACCATAATAATAATAAAAGGCTTAGCGAACCCGAATATTCGATGCCGACACCACCAATCGCTCATTACACAGCTTCCTCTATCGTTCGCCGTCCAAACCTAGTCCTTTCAGATCGGCTTTAATTCAATCTTCCCACCTTCGCTTCGGTCTACCCCTCGGACATTTAACATTCGGTACAGCAAATATTAATCTTTTAGGAACTCTCGTTACTAAGCCCAACAATTTTACAGGCCCATTTGATTTGCCGGGATGAAATCACCTCAATTATATTACTCGGATATAGTTCACGCAATTCGGCGTTGTGCAACCGTCTGAATTCTCCGGTTAATTCATCCTTCTTCGGTCCGAATATTCTACGCAATACTTTATTTTCAAAAATCTTAAGACGTTGCTCATCCGTTAATGTAAGCGACCACGTTTCGCAACCATAATGAACTGTAGGTAAGATAATGGTTTTATGGATTCTAATTTTTAAGTTGCGGGACAAGAGGCGCGAGCTAAGTAGTTTTGTTACCTAAAAATAACAAGCATTTCCCGCCTTCAGTCTAACCTTAATCTCTTCTTCAATTTCATTTTTTCTAGTTATCATAGACCCTAGATACCTAAACTTCTCTACTTGTTCAAACATATTACCATCTAAATCGATATCGCCAGTAATATCACCATTTTTGCAGCTTACCATATATTTTGTCTTATCCTTGTTTATTTCGAGAGAGTTTTACATACGCTTATCAAAATTTTAAAATTATTTAAACCATAAACAATGGTAATATTTCTTGAGATGTACTTCCTTTGACTCCTCGAATCCCCCTGGCAGGTGATAGACTCCATCATGGCCCTGTTCAGAGTGGACTACAGCGGGCGCGGGGAGCTGGCTGAGCGGCAGCAGCGCCTCGGGCAGATGTTGTCCAGGCTGCAGAAGATATCGGAGGAGTACAACGTGGCCGTCTTCATCACCAACCAGATGACAGCGGATCCGGGAGCTTCCATGACCTTCCAAGTAAGATATAACTTATCAAGATTATAGAATAATATTATTTATCTGTAAATAATAACTTCAAATATTTCATTAATTTTATTTTTAATATTATCTTTTGATATTTTTTTTTGTCTATAAAAATGTATTTGCGCCTCTCAACTTATTGTTGACAACCAGCAAATGAGCTGGCGATATAGTAAATAATGACAAGATATGGGGAAGGAAAGTACTCAGCAGTACCTCTTCCCTAACTTGTTCCAATTACTTAAGTTCCTCATATTAGTAGTTTCCATGGGCATGGGGAAGGAAAGTACATAATATATTAGTAGTTTCCATTCGGAGTAAATGCGCGGACGGCGGACGACATAGGAATGACGAACAAAAAAATTGTAATCGCTTTTCGAATTCTACGTATCCTGAAATGTAAAATCTCAAATTTTGAGAGAGAATTAAGTTTTTGAATTTTTGTTCGATCACAATGGTTCATTAATGATAATAATAAACTATAAATAAATTGGAAAGAGATATATTAGTAAAAAAACAATTTTTATAATATAGTTCTGAGTTTATTGTAAAAATTTTAATTACTTATTTTCTTAAAAAAAAATTACATTAAACGGAAAATAAACATTAAGTGGCCTTAGATTACAGAAATATTTTCATTTGAATTTTTATATTTATTTAGTTTGAGGCGAAATGAATTTTTTTTAAAAAACGTCTTGTAAATAAAAGTCCTAGTTTTTATAAATAAAATTTATTATTATTTATTAAAAAGTTCTAGTTCCAAAAGAACAATAAAATATTAGAAAAGGCATGGGGCAGGAAAGTACTCAGCAGTACCTCTTCCCTAACTTGTTTCAATTACTTAGGTTGTTTAAGGAAGGAGATCTCTCATCCAACCCCTTTTTGGTCTCCTCCTCATGTTCTGACGTATGTCAGCTGTAGCCATGTCTCTTATTATGTCCGTTTAAATTTATGTAAAATCGTTGATAAAGGATCGTTATATGTTGGTCAACTGTTGGTCAACGGAAGGTGAAGGTCAGTATGTAGAGTTTTGTTAGCCTCGTACCAAGGTGCTTTTGTTGAGTCGCAATAATATTGATTTGAAGGTTTGATATTTTTATAGCTGGGTCTTTTTAGCGATACAGTATATTTCTGAGGAGTACGTCCATATGGGTTTAAGTAAATGTGTATATGTATTCAGTTTCGGTCGCAGTTTTAGTTTTGAAGATTTAGCAAAAAGAGATTAAAGTAGTCATTTTTTAAGTGTCTTTAAACTTGTGTATTGTATTTTTTTTTTTGTTTATATAGAAATATTACATTCTGTCACAATCAAGGACATTTATAATAGTGTTCAGAGAGCACACTCACACTCTATTTACAATAAATAATACAGAAACTAATAATAATAAAAATAAATGTATATAAACAAAAGAACTAAACTAATCAAAATAACAACTAAAACACATGCATACTATACAATATTTACAGAATCCATTCTCTCAGAAGAACTCTGAGTCAAGCGTTTCACCCCTTCGTGGAAGTAAAGGCAGGACTCTAGGAGATCCCAGCGCCTCGCACTGAGCCTCATTACTGGAGAACCATTAGAGGCTGAGCAGAGGCGCTATAATTACACATACTTGGCTTGAGTGGAGGATCTGGCCATTGCCAAAACTCCCATACATGCTTATTCACAGGTCTCTGGGCTACTGCCGCTAAACTTGTGTATTTAAACTTGAAATATATTAGATTTATTGTTTTTGTGTAACTACTCTTAAAAAAACTATATATTATTACATTTCTTCCAATTTTCTTTTTCTTTTTTTACAATATTCATCAGTCCCTATATTCCTCTATTAAATTATTTAATATGAAGGAGTTTTTTACTTTTGTAATCATTAAATTTATTTTTTCTTTTGATATTTAATAATTGTTAATCTCAGGAAATATGATAAGTAAAAAGAGACCGACAAATATTTGTCAGTTCAACGTGACTAACTCTGCTTAATCTTTAGCTGCTCCTTTGTTTTCTCGATAAAACTATAGCCAATAGTTAACAACTGCTACCCTCCTATATTGACCTCTTCAACTCAACAAAGTCATTTCTTCTTATTCACTCGTATTCTGTAATCAATATATATCTTAGACTTTCTAGGTTTATCTTTTTCTTTGAATCGACGTTATGATTTTTTAAAACCATTTTCCAAAATTATTATGATAACAATTTGTTATATTTTTAACATTTATTTTAAAAGAGATTTGAATTAGACTCAAGCTTGTGCGTGCTAGGGTGTCTTGGCCGTTGTTTCTGTGAACCACCTCATCAGAATCTTCAACTCCTAATTTGTCCCGTCTAGCTTCACACCGACTTACCACTGTTTAAGTATTGAAGCCTGGCTAAATGTTTATATTGACTTTATTTATTTTAGGGAAAAATAAAACAGGAGACATAACAACCCCATTTATGGCATTTGAGCATTACAGGTGCTTATATTTGGTACAAAACTGATTTCAAACCTTAGTGAAATAATATATGTGGGAATTTCTCATTTCTCATAATACAGTGCATTTACTTATTTCTATATTATATTAAAATTTGATCACTGGCCGATTTACCGTGAAAATTATTACCACGTGCCAACTACTTGAGCATAATTCGACAAAATATATAGAAATAGAAATAGAAATAGAAAATAAACTTTATTCTGGGACGATGTAGAATAACAATAATGAACAGCTACAAAAGAAAAAATACATACACTGGCCAAAAACTAATAGTATGTAAATTACTTAAAAAATAAAATAAAATATTCTCATACTTATAATTTCACTGGAAAAAATGACAAAAATAAAAAAAGAATTACATGCATAGAAAGAAAAAGCGAAACCTCAAGAAAAGAAAAAATATCAAAATTACGTAAATAAAAAAGATTGACTTATCTTAAAACCCAAACAGCCACTAGCGGATCCAGGATTTAATTTTGGGGGGGGGGGGCTTCAGCCCGAAAGATTTTTTTTTCATATACATATAACGATAATTCATTTGAAAAAAAAAAAGAAATTAATTACCTATATGAAATAGTGTTTAAGTGATTCTTGAAGTCCAATTAAATATAATTACACGAATAAGAATATTTTAAGAGATAGTTTTTAATATTTTTTTCTGTAAAACATGGTTATATTTTACCATTTTGGTGGGGGCTTCAGCCCGAAAGCTCCCCCCCCCTCCCGTAGATCCGCCTGTGCAAACAGCTAAAGCATACAAAATATGTACATATATTAAAGGTATATTAATGGCAGAAGATGAGCAACGGGATCACACCAGAAAAAAAAATGATTTAAAGAAAATAAATTATTTATATATGTTATACAATACGCAATGGTATTGTAAATTATAAAAAAATAGAGAGATTAAGATAGGAAAAAATATATATGTATACAAATTGAGGAATGTAAGGAATGAAATAAGTCTAAAATATACACAAGATTAGATGTAGATGGAAAAAAGAAAAATGGGTAAAAACAAAATATATTGATTAAACTTTGAAAATGTACTTGAACGAAATATGAAGCAGAGCCATGGCATTAATTAAACGTACCGAATCCTTAAACCTCGACTAAATCTAATAATAAGTTTGTTTAAAGAAGAATCCCAAAGGACCCAAACTGCAACATCTTGATCACGAAAGCCCTACGTTTTCCAGGTGTGCCTCCAAGAAGAGGAGGAACCTCAAGTTGGCTAAGATCGATCTCGCCCCCGGTGGTTCGGCCGCAAATTGACAGGATTAGATTTCTGTCCCCCGGGCTTATCTTGTAAGGTGCCCATTAGGCAAAGCCGCTAATCTTTAATGGCCCTGGGGAGGGGAGAGGGGGGAGGTAATACAATTTAAATATCAAAAATCGAAACCTTATTTAGCTTTTCATATATTTTATAAGGAGCTTTAAATTCAAATGGTACAAAATATGGAAAAAATTCGGAGGATTATTTATACAAAATAAAATTTAATTTAAGAGGTGCATTGGAACAATGCGTTTCAATAACCGATAAAAAGTTGGTTGAGGCGTGTGCACAAAGTGAAAAGAAAGAAAAAAAAATAAAACTATGAAATGATTCCAAAATTGAAACGTAGATATTAAAATTACTACTGATTTCAAATCAACAATTTATTCTTAAATTAAAATTTCAAGATTGAAGAGCGTGTTTTGGGATATAAAAGGGTAATTTAAAAGAAGGTATTTGAATGAAGAAAGGGAAAGAGCATGCGGATGTTATATGCCACAGAGCAATGGAGTGGAAAAAAGTATCCTTCGGATGCATTAGTTCTGTTGGGAGGAGTATAGAGGTCTGAAATACGAGATCTTGTTTTCCGAGAGAGGACAATTGAGGAAGACTGTAGATGTAGGATGGAGTTAATACGTACTCCCTGAATACATGTCTTTGTGACCCTTGGTCTACCGGACTATATCCTTCTATCTTTCACTGTCCTTGGCAACGTTCCTTTAATTCATGGCACATAGCACTATGACTTTGATGCATCTCTTACTACCTTGTACTTCCAGCGGCTTCTCAGTCTGCCTCTTTTCATCTCTTCTTCGACGATGGTCATCTTCTAATTTTCCCATAGATTGCCGCGATTTCTGCCTTAGTTTTGATCTTCAATTTTTCATCAATGTTTACAGCACCGTATTCTCACAATTCGTTTTTTAAAAGGTATCAGTTTTGATAGCCTATCGATGGTAGGCATCTGGTTAGGTGACAACCCGCTTAACAAGAGTATTATACAGCTGTACTTTGACGTTCCTTGGGAGAATATTTAGGAGTTATTAGTTTGGTATAAACAGAGTCATAGGAAATATTGTCGACCGGAGGAGGGGAATAGCCACTTTAACTCGACATAGAGGTAGGTGAAACAGGAGAACTCCTTGATATACCAAAAATAAATGTTAGTGAGTAATTTTTACTTAAGAACAATCGAGTCGTCGCCGTAAACCTCACACTAGTAGTCAAAGTGGAGGAATTG